CACAGCTGGTCTAGTGGTATTTTGGTAGACCGGCGGCGTATTGGCATACGTCACCGATGCCTCACCGGCAGGTTTTCACAGTGTCAGGTACATTTCAGTGCGATAAATAATCATCAACAACTAATATTCTGAGTCAGCACATACATTTAGATCTATACAGATATATTCTGATCTATATCTGATCTGATGAGCGTGTTTGGACACACAACCTGACCAAATCAACACAGCTGAAACTGCATTAAATTAAATTAAATATCTAGTAAATAAACACACATGATGAAGTTAACAAGATATGTAATTCGTCTCCTTCCTTTTCTATCTTCCTCTTCTTTCTTGCACAGCTCAACCTGGACATGTCTCTGTGTCCTCTCCCCGTCCTGATGCAGCTGCTGCAGTGGCTGAACAGATGATTTGTTTCAGTGATCAGATGAGGTTTTTTTACTTTAAGCCTACTTACGAATATTATAATATTCAGTTTTGTGAGCCAAATTTATTTTATATTCCAACATCTATGAAAGAAAGAGCCAGGCCATGAAGCGTGATGTGTCATTACGCACAGATGGTTCCAATGTCAATGCCATTTTTAGAGTTTATGTTGTGATCTGTGCGCACAACCCACCTTTGTCACGTGAGGTTTAAATATATGCAACTTTATGTGAGTGTCTTTATTTGTGGAAAGGGATGTTTGTCTTACCAATGGGTCCAACATTACACACACCAAATCTATCTGTGCTTATATGAGACAGTGTGCAGGACGCCATCTGCAGTGCTTACAGTGACACTTGTTGAGGAGCTGCCTTCTGTCGCCATCGTGTGGCATTACTGTCTTCAGACATCTCTTGATCTCTTTGACTACTTCACGAAAATTGGAATACGCCTCACCGGTGGCGGATTTAAAGGCGAGGAGAGGAACTTATGTGATTGGTGAAAACAGGTCTTAGCTGTGTTAAACCCACTCCACACCCTCTCTCCTCCCTCCCTATGACTTATGCCGCTGGGAGGAGCTGAGTTAGGGAGGGGGATACTTACGCAGGGCTGCACCGCTCACCAAAATACCTAATTTTGCATGGGAACGCAGTGTCGCCGGCAAGGCACGAAAATAGAGCCCAAGGTCTTTTTGGACCTCAGAAACTTCTTCTATAGTTCAGGTCAGGACCACTTTTGTTAAAAACAATGAATTACTTGCATGTAGTAGTTAGATTTGGGGGAGTGGCTTTATTCTGAGAGCACACCTTCCATCCGTTTTGTGTAAATACATGAGGAGCTAAGGCAGGGAGAGCAGCAGCAGCAAAAATCAAAAGAAAACACAAAAACAGGTATCAGTGACAATGCATAAACCTGAGGTAGGGAGAACAGATCTCCTCTCCGTTTGATGTGCATACATGGATAGCAAAGGTAGGGAAGCACAGCAGAAAAATAAAGAATATACAACAGAACAGAACAAAGCTGACATCATTGACAATACATATGAGCCTGGTAAAATCCAGACACAGCATAAAAAGAAGGCAGGCAGTTAAAACAGGTTATCAGCTGAGCTGTCAAATGATATGAGCTGGCCTTAAAACCAGTTGATGTACAATTGGCTGAGCTTGACTTTCATGGCCTGCCAGATCTAACATCACACTCTATTTCTAAGAGCTGTAGAAACCTATCCCCCTTTTTTATTTACACAGCAGGAACTATAAGCTATTTTAGTCACTATCAACTTAGGCTGGGCAATAAAGTGATGACAATATATATCAAAAATTAATTTCCCTCAATATCAATATAAAACATGGTCATTATCCTTTTCGATAGTCAGCATTCTGCCATGTCTTGGTAGACTATACGAATAGCCAATGAAAAGGGGAGTTTCTCCGGGTTTGCTTCGAGCTGAACCAATCATGTGCTGAATTGGAACCAAGTAGCAAACAACTGTGTAGTAGCAGGCTGCAGCTACACACAACCATAGCTCTTTAACACGTGAAGCGGACAGCACTGTCGGTGAGAAAAAAAGAAAATGAGAGCTACCCCCGGCAGAAATGTAGATGAAGACTTAACAGATGATAACATCGTCAACAACTATTACATGAAAACGTGGGCAGTGTGGAGGTATTTTGTTTTGTTGAGGTCAGGCATGAAGCAGAGTATTATGCACTACTAATTATGTCAAGTACATGTCCTTGCAAAGTCGAGGAATACCAGAGCATGCGCAATGCAAAAGGTTACATGGTGCCTGTGCAGCCGAAACAGCTGACGACACAGTCCGCTTTCTCTAGCACAATGCGTTACAACAAAACGTTGAAGAGACACGCAGACCTCACAGATACAGTAGCTTATTGTATTGCAAAAGACATGCTACCAATAAGCTCTGTTAAATTTTATTTTTTATGTTGTGATATATATCAACATCGACTGATATGAAAAAAATATATTGTGATAAACTACTTCCCATATTGCCCAGCCCTACTATCAACCTTTATGCTGATGATGACATGAATGAAGTTTATATTGTTCATAGATCATTGAGTGGCTGTGCTTCTGAGTTAATGTTAACGCAAAAGACATATAACTAGTAGTGTAACTACTTACTTTCATCAGCAAGTAACTAAATGATGTACTTGATTTCAAGTCACTAGTAATATATAACTTTTTGGAGTAACTACCCTAACACTGTATAATCTATATTGCAGCAAGTCAGTGGGAGGTCCATCTTTATATGTAGTCTGTTGAATTTCCTTGAAGAGATATTTCTGTTTGTTTTTCTTGGGGGGGAAAGGAAACTCTCCTTTGTTTATGGTTTCATATTTCTGTAAAGTAAATCTTGAGTTTGTGAACCTACAGTCTTCAGAAACATCAGATTTTTTCTTCCAGATGTCAAACTCCTCCAAAGCGCTGCGTTCCTGGCTGTCACTCCAGCCAGATAAACACCATGTGTTCTAATGTGAGGGAACTCTGAGTATCTCAGCTGTGTCCCTGGCACAGCCTGCAGGGGTTGTTAGCACTGACAGCGCCCGTCTTTATGCATGAGACTTCCAGGCAGATTGCTGGTAGAGCGGGGCACTTTCTCTCAGATGGGCGTCAGCTGGCTGCAGGCCTCACTGCCTTCCCTTCCTCCTTCCTCCTTCCTCCTCTTCCTCCACCTCCTCACCTTGCTCTTCTCCCCATCACAGCAGACCCTGTGAAGGAGCTTTATGGAGCCCTATAATGATAGGAGGTGAATGTGCAGCACCGGGGCGATTGTTAACGGCAGCAGCTGTGCAGATAGCCTGGATGATGGAAAATCAGTGGGACCTCATTTTGGTTTGCCGGTATGAATATTAATGGCTCGTTTCCAGGCCATGGCTAATGATGAGGAAAATTCCCTAATAAAAACTTGATGTGATGGGCAACGACCCGCGGGGTCACTGGAGACAGTCAAAGTTAATAGTGTGCCATCAGGTGTGAGGAGTTAAGTGATTAGAGGCACAGAACCTAATCCTGATGTTTTTCTCCCCCTTAGCCATGAGTCAGAGAGGAGGGAGGGAGTGGGAGGTGAGGGGGAGGATGAGCTTTATATCTCTTGACAGCAGAGGGTTGCAGCCTGTTGTTCAGCATACATCAAATACATGCAAGCTGGGAGTGATACAGAGTGGCACAGCTGACAGATTATTTTCTATATGACAGACACACGTGAAAAAAATATCATCACATTTAACAGAGGGCTCAGCTTATCTGAAAATATATATAATTATAAACTTAAAGGATATGATGCAAGATGATTTTTACATCCTTAAGAAAGGGGTGTGTTTATATCTATGAGAAATATTATCCTGTGTTTTCTCTATAGATAAGCGTAATCTTATGAAAAGTTTCACTTAAATGTGATTAACTTTCCTCAAAATATTATTGATATGATATTTTTGTGTTTTATTTATTTAAGGCTCACAAGTTTGTGAGATTTACTTCTGCAACAGAATGAGCCTTTTACCAAGACAAGGGACCCCATCAAGAAACGGAAAAATAAATGAGTTTTTAATGTCAAAGGTGCAATATTACAAGAATGAGGTTGTAAAATTATAATCAAGTCAAACTTTACAGGCGTAGTGTTATAAATTTAAGAGAATAATATTGTAATTTTACAAGAATGAAGTTGTAAATTTACATGAATAAAGTTTGTAATTTATGAGGTCAAAGTCTTAAATTTATAAGATCAAACTTGTAAATTCAGGCAAGAGAACCTGACTGCAGACACAGCTGATCTCTCTAAGCACAGGTGCAGTTGGATCCTGGAGCTCTGCTTGGATTTCAGCTGTTATCAGAGAACAAGATAATCTGACCTATCTATTAATGTGTGATCAATAAAAGGCTAAAACTGCATGTATAGTTATAATTTGTAGAGCAGTTATCTGATTTAATGATAAACTTAGCTTAGAAGTTAACATAGAGAGACAAACAGCAGATTCAGAAGCTAGCACAGGGTGATTACCTGACATTTTTCATAACAGACTCTTTTCTTTCTAAATCAATTCAGAGCCCAGATATTTCTTACAATTTGGTGCTGATGTACTAAAAGGTTTTGTTTTTTGTGCTAAAAATTATATAATTATCCTCTAATTTTTATCTATTTTTGTAAATGGACAGCAGCTAACAACACACAGCGTTTAGATAAGATGAAAAATAAGTGCAATCCTCTGCAGTCCTGACTGTTTTAGCACTGTTACAGCTATATACAGCCTGGGAAAGAAAGTTTATTTTCATTGGAGTAACCAGAAGCTTATCACGGAGAAGTAAAAGACAGAGGACAAAACAAAAAAATTACCATGACAGGACATTGTTAAATACTGGACAGGCTCCTTGACTGGTGACTTCCAAAAATAGAGTGTCACTGAGGGTTTTACATATTTAACCCACTTAGTCCAGAGTTTTATAATCTTTCTGAAGGTGTAGCACAAAGGTAATTATGTCTATAGCATGACAATCATCAACTACACTGTATTGCAGGGAGTTCAGGAAGCTATCAATGATGCTCCATGTTCTGTAATCATAATTTTGGCTGCTGGCTACAGTGGCCCTGAGGTGCAAATCAGAAAATACAACACAAAAAGAAAACACAACAGCAAATCAGTGACAATTGATGTCGCCTGAGGGTACCAACATTTTCCGGTTTGGTTTTGTTGTCTGATTTGTCTTTGAGTTTTCTCTTTTTTTGTGTTGTGTTTTCTGAATTGCCACAGTGATTTGCACCTCAGGGCCACCGTAGCTGGCAGCTCCTCTGATCTTCACCTTCAATATAGCACACAAACATACAGCGAGTTAAAGCTTGAGCTAAATAACATCTTGTTTTCACAGAATCTTACAACTGCAGTCGTTCTTTAAAATTGTATCTTTTATAAATGCAGAAGTTTATTCTGGTAAATTAATATGCTGTTGTTTTATCACATTTTATACGCACATAGACACACCAGATCTAAATAAATCATGTGGCATAAAAACAATGAAACTGGAAAACCCTCAATCAGAATGATCTTAATTGAAATAAAAGAATAATTGCCCATGTGATCATGTTTTTGTGGGTCGTGCATAATGGCCCAGATAGTTGTGCCTCAAAGCACCTGCAGAGCTGGTGCTATTGCCACTTTATGTCTAACAAGAATTTAACTCTCAGTGCTGCAGACATATTTCAGTCTATATCAAAAAGCATTTTAGTGTTTTTTTATTCAAACAGCTCAGCATCTGCACAAACTCACCAACACTTGCAGAAAATTCTGCTACTTGGCAGAATATCAGATTAATAATTGATAGTTGATGTGTGTGCAACTTTGATGTGTAGTATAAATACATTTGATTCTAGCTGATTTCAGGACCAACAGCATAAATGTGCAAACAATACACTTTGATGTGTTTAATTACCAGAATATCCTCCTATTAATCTTTGGTTGAACCAGACTCTGCTTCCTGTCTCAGTCACCGTCTGCTTATAGAAGCAGTGCTCAGCGTCGGGGTGAGGTAAGGTGTGTGTTTGTGGGTGTTTGTGTATGCTCCCACACTTGTATTCTGCAGCTGTATCTTATGTTTTTTCATTTCTATCAGATAACCAGTAAACACTTCCCGCCCCCGGCGCCTATAGCCCCGAGAAAGAAGAAAAAAAGTTGAGATGCTCTAGAAGGAGAGATACTAAACTGGGTGCTTGTGTAACAAATGGATTTTTGAGGAAGCAAAGTGCTGCACCTCAAAGTTCCTTCCATCCTACCTTGGTCCTCGTCAGGTGTGTGTGTGTGAGTGTTTATGTGTAAGAGTGTGTATTGGGTGGGTGGATGGGACTGATCAACAGAGAGGTTTACCCTGCGGCAACATCTGTTTCTGCCAAGCATCACTTCAGTAGTGTGCTGCCACATCTCTGGTGCAAATGTCCTACCTTCCTCCACACACAAACACACACACGCGCACGCACACACACGCACACACACACACACACACACACACACACACACACACACACACACAAACACACACACGCGCACGCACACACACGCACACACAACAACATATCTTTGTACACCAGGCACCCAGAGGAGTTCAAATAACTGTGTTTTTCCACTTAAGAAGAAGGTCTCTGACACTTTTTTACTTGATTTAAAGATGAACTTTAACATAAATCATTAAGATTATACAATGAAACTCATAGATTATATCAGGCATCTCTCATATACTGCTTTTGTAAGTTTTGGCACAGCCCAGTGTTATAAAAAAAAAAAAAAAACTGACGCACACACCCCAGAGTATTGAAACCAGACCATAAAGATCTTATTATGTTATAGAGGGCTCAGTTTTTCAACTCCTCTCCTCTATCATCCCCCTTTAGCTCCAGAGTTTGTGGTCAGACCGAATATCTTCTGGATAAAGTTGAACATTTTAAGGGTAATTGCATTCAGATGTTGGCCTGCTGGGTTTGGCCTGAGCTTCACATGTGGATCAGACCAGGTTATATTATTCCAGACAGAAGTCTGGTCCTCTCTGACGAAACAAATTTGGCTGCAGAAAGCAGACTTTGCCTTACGTGACTACAGACTGTCGCAAACACTCAGGCTAAGCCGTTTTCTCTTCTCTGTGATTGTTTGAGGTCTCCTTCTGTTTTATGACAGTTGGATGTCAAGCTGTGGAAATTAGATGTTTGATGTCAGCTCTGCTTATTTTAAGGGTCAGTCCCAGTCAGGCCCGTCATCTTCAATTTCCTTCCACTCGCTAAACTTTAGCATGCTTTTACTAAACTTTCGTCCAGAGATACCTTTTCCTGAAATGTGTGTCTGCTGGGTTTATTTCTAAAGTTAAATTATCCCAGAGTTTATTTGAGGTTCAGTTGACTGTGAAGTCACTTAAACACAGGCTGCTTCTTGGCATGTGTGTTTGGTGACGTGTTTTCATGTTTATTAGGAGTGTAGAGCAGTGATATAAACTGGGTTTTAACAAACAGAACATCTATTCAGGGTCGTAGACATCACCAGTCTGTGATAGAGCTACAGTGAAGAATTGTATGAGACCAGTTTGGAGTTTCCAGTGTTGAAGTCAGAGTCCAAGTTTACAAAAATCCTTTCATGATCAACTCATGGTGCATTTAATTATGAGTTAACACAATGTTCATACTGGTTCACGTTTATTGTTGGAGACTTCTCTTTTTCATGCAAACACACCTGAGTTGACTTATTGTGATGATAACCAGCTTTGTGTGCCTGTCTGTTGTGTGATCTCTTGTCTCAGCATTAGTGAAGCCAGAGACCAAGTTCAAGATTGTGTATATTTATACTAATTAGGGTTGTCACGATACTAAAATTTCAAACTCGATATCGATACCCAGGAAATACTCGATACCATTATCGATACTGCTGGGATAAAAAATGACAAATACTTTAAAGGAATAAAAAATATTTTATTAACCTGAAAAACAGAACGGCAGATAAGTAATCAATCAAATAAAATGATGAAATAATCACAAAATGAAAAATATAAAAAAATAAAAAACAAGACAATCACTTTTTCATTTGGAACCCAGGTTTCTCCTCTGTGTAAATGGGTAGTTGGTCCTCACAGATATGCTCTGCTACAGCTACAGTTTATTTTGGCAGCTTCAGGAGACTTTGGGTCATACTTTCTCTGTTTTTCAAATAGCAGTGGAAGAGTAGGCTATGGTTTCTTTGGTTTAGTTGCTGGTCGACTTCTCTCTGCTTCAGTCTTCATCTTTAAAGAGAAGAAAATATGTTTGAGTCATGTTAGCAAACTACAGGCTGTAAGCCGCAAGTCCTCGGCTAATGGCTAATAACAAAACAAACAACATTCACTGAGCATAAAGCTAACTGAGGCTACCACGGACTTCAGTGGCGCGCTAGCCAAGGCTAATTACCGGACAACCAACATTCTCTGAGCATAAAGCTAACCAGGGCTACCGTGGATTAATGCTGGCCAGACTAACATTATTAATCAGTTTGATACAGTAAGGTCAAGGATGGATGGGAGCTTCACTAACCTGCTGGAATTCGTCATGAAGGCCAGGATTCCGGTCCTTGAGGTGTTTTGCCAAATTAGTCGTGCTACTTAACTTTGTTGCTACCACTTTGAAACACTGGCCATACTTAGGCAGGCATGCGCACCGTAGTATCGATACCATGGAAAATTAGTAACGCATCCGGATACAGCATATAAGTATAGATACTTTTCAAAGTATCTATACCTTTGACAACCCTAATACTACTAAAGGTCGATCTTCATGGAGCTTTGTTGGTTACTTATTTTGTACTTTTGTGTTATAAGAAACTAATTTGTGTGACGGGGTCTACTGCCTCAGCTCTTTGTGCCAGAGCAGGTGCTGCGTAGTAAACCCTGAGCTCATCAGTCTCCTCCCGCCTGCCTCTATTTGTTGTTTCTCAATTCACAGTGGCGGACTGGCAGACTGTGCAATGTCGGGGTGAGAAAGAGAGAGGAGGGGATACAGGGTGTGTGTGTGTGTGTGTGGGGGGGGGGGGGGGTTGAGAAAAAGAATGGCACAGATCCTCATTTCATCATCCTGGTAATGTAGCCCAGCCTCTACCCAGCGGTGGGCCAGGCATGCCGCCATATCAAGCTGAGGTGGAGAGTGATGCGTCCAGCTTGGCGAGTCTAGACTCTGCCACATTCAAGCCCCCTCCATGCCCAACCTGCAGAGAGGAGCACTGGGTTCCAAGATGGCAATCAAGGCTTGATTTGCCAACACATTTCCAATGATTAAAATGTAATTAGCACAAGCGAGCACCTCCTCCCCAGCTAATTTCCACGCACGCTGTGACAGGCAGGCGGTCGGCGGCACCCAGGCCCCAGCAGCAGATGGAGGAGGCTGCAGCGGGAGGGGAGAAAACCATTTTGCCATGCGACTGTTTGCATCAGAAAACCATCAGGACGTGCAGCTATATCAGGAAGGAGCTGTTAGGAGGAGGAGGAGGAAACGAGGAGCCCTCGACAACAGCACGTCAAATTGGCACTGTCAGAGCTGACCCTGGCAATGGCTGCCATCCTTCATGCTGTCTCTCCAGCTCCCAGGCATGCAAGCAGGTTGGCTCCCTCCCCCAGCTTTAACCCCTTCAGCCATCCTACAGGACAGGCTGGCTCAGGCTGATAAACAGACACCATCCTGTGTGCAGCAGGGCACTTTAATGAAGCCCATATCAGACATAATTAATTCTAAGGTCATGGATAGCAACCAGCAGAACTGGAGGCAAATGTCACTCATGGGGGCAGCAATACACTCCTGTCTTAGACACAAACTTGAGAAGATGGCTCAAGAAAGACACAGCATTACCAATTATGATAAGCCTTTTTAAACACATACTGTTGTCTTTAGAAATATCGTTTACACATACTGTTATTTCCTGGATTGCTTCAACATCTGGTCATATTTTTGCAGATTTGCAGGTTATGTTGGAACATGGCATACTTGCCTTGCACGCAGCCTTGTGTGATGTGGCTATTCTTTAGCGCAGACATTTTTCTGCGGGTAGCTCTGGCAGGAGACTCTGGAGAGCCCTGCGTCTTCTGCAGATGATAACGCAGCCGCACGGTTTAGCATTCAGCCCGTGGCTCCTCATGTTCCTCTCGTATTGGGCCAGTATTACTCTCAGCTGGAGAGGATTTAGGACAAGAATAATTTACTCCTTATTCCAGACCAATGTAAACAAAGGGCTCCATGCTTGGACCGAGCACAGGGAAATTTGTAAGAGCACTCAGCCAAAAGAGAGGCCCCGGCTGAGAGCGGA